AGACCGGTCCTGCGCCGCTTGCATCCAGGTACCTCCCGCGACCTTCACCAGATCGTCGTTTTCGTCCGACCGACCGCACCAGACCACCAGGGGGAGGCCTTTGTCCAGCAGTGGACGTCTTTCGGCTGAAACGAACGAACGAACGAAACTAACTAAAAATACCTAAGTTCAGGCAAAGTGTCTCATTGCTAGTAAATCTCATTTGCTTGCAAGTTCCATCGCTACCGATTGATAGAATCCACGAGGCAACTAAGTATGTAAATAACCAATCATTTCACGATTGTTATTTCACCCCTGTATTTTATTGGCTCATGAAACATGAAACGCAACTGAAACGCAATTGAAACGCCTCACTGTGATTGTTTGCGAACTTTCGATACAAAATAGAGAGGTCGAATATAATCATTTTCCTTTATAATGACAGACATTTACGAGTGAAACGAAACTCGATTAATTTACATAAATTGAGGAATTCATTTCAACCACCGATGCACGGTCGAATGGATATGACTTTTATGTAGGTACTAGTTTCTGAACGCGGTTTTACCTGTGTGGGTTTGTGTCCTGTAAAAGTTCTCAGTCCACAGTCACAGATCTAATAAGCTTTTATGATTAAAAATGTAGACAGACATTAACCTTTCCAAAAATAATTTTATTTTCGATTCAATGTCTTTAGTTTGCTAGTTCATTACGGAGAGTGATTTATGTGTTATAAGAGAGGAATCCATTGCAAGTTTACGAAATATAAGCACGACACTATAAGTTATACTAATAACGCCGCAAAACTTTAAACTTAACCTATCATTAAGATGTTTATTTATTAAATTTATAGGCAGTTATCAAATCTAAAGGAAAACATGCCATATCCATATTTTATCACACTCATTTCCACTCTCGGTCACCAAGCCAAACCTCGTTCGAGACGCTAATTAATAATATTGAAATGGATTGTTTTTGATTAAACCGAAAAACACCGTCTCCTTCTAACGCTACTTTATCAAACACCTCTCTCTTTCCCTCCAAAACATCATTTTGATTGACGCCAGTCTTTTATTGCGGATTGGGTATTTACTTAAGGAACTCTAATTTGTCTTCAGCTTCGTTCCGCAAGCATTTTTGCGCCCAAACACAAAACTATTGAGTTTCATTTTGAATGTCGCGTTGGCGGGTTACAAAGCGACCCCGTTTCATAATTTCCTTCACAATAAATTTTATTCAGTTAGGGCATAATGATATATAGTATTGGAAGCTTATTTTAATTTTGGTAGAAGGTACGCAATTTTCGATAAACTCGAGCAGATCTCGAAGCTACAGGCTGATGTTATTGAAATTCAAGCAGACGTGCCATTATTTAAATAGCAAATTATATGCAAACAGTTAAGCGATATTTACACTATTAACATGGTGTCGTGCCGCGCTCCAACGCACTCTAAAGCCTACACTACGAGTAATTCTTAAATAAACCGACCCGAGTTAATCATTTATCAGCATAGGGAAATAAACTATTAAGCTACAGCTGACAGTAAAAAATAAATGTCGGACGCGTTTCTTGTTTAAAAGACGTTTTCTTTTTTCTTAGCAAAACATTTTTTTTCTGCTTTTACACGTTAAGGTCGGATGTCCATCGAAACGTTCATGTTGTTAGTCGCTACGTTTACCACTTAGGCCCAGTCTCCTCTAAATTGGATAGGAGAGGATTATGTGTTTGAATAAAAATTGATAATTTCCACATCACTTCTCCGCTCATCTTCGTTTTGGAATTCTGATTGGTTATTCAAACACATCTCCTCTTTTCTCCACTTTGGTGGAAACCGGGCCATTGATAATGTCCAATATGATACGTATAAGCCCCTGAACTATAAATATGAAGGGGGCAGATGAAACAAAATAGGTGTCATTCACCACCGGGGTGTTAAACGCCACCTACTTAAAGCCAACCACCACCTCAGTAGCAAGCTCGAAGGGGGTAGATGAGAATAAATAGGTGTCATTCAACACCGGCCACTGGATGCAGGCCGCCACCAACCGGCCATGCATTGTAGAAATCATTGGGGGAGGCCTATGTTCAGCAGTGAACGTCCTGTGGCTGAAATGATGATAATGATTCACCACCGGGGTGGTAATCGCCACCTACTTAAAGCCAACCACTACCTCAGTAGCAAGCTCGAAAAGGGGGTAGATGAGAATAAATAGGTGTCATTCAACACCGGCCACTGGATGCAGGCCGCCACCAACCGGCCATGCATTGTGGAAATCATTGGGGGAGGCCTATGTTCAGCAGTGAACGTCCTATGGCTGAAATGATAATGACGATTTACCACCGGGGTGATAATCGCCACCTATTAGAGCCAACCACCACCCCGATGGCAAGCTCGAAGGTGGTAGATGGGAATAAAGGGCCCTATCTACTCTGCTAGAACGAAACTGCTATGGAATGGACCATGGCATGGCCTAATACAATAACAGCAAAGCACCTTCCTTCCCCCGACCTGCCAATATTAATGAGATCAAGTTGTTATCTGAAAAGTTAAATTACTTATTTTTCAGTTACGAAAAAGCCCAAACTTCATTAAAGTACTTCAGCGGAGCATCCTTTGATTGGCCGGATGTAATTTTTTAGGATCCCTTGGGATTTCTTGGGAAGCTATTAAGGTTTCAGGTTGGGGTATGACTTTGAGGAATGTATTTATGGAGACATTAGCTTTAAATGTTGTCAACCTTTTCGTGGCCTGTGGTTTTGACAAGACATACGGCCATATTTTATTTTATTCAGAACAACAAACAATTACATAATATAGCTTATACCAGTATTAATGACTATTATTAATATTACTTATTATGTAACCAATAACATTGTTCGCAAAGTAATTTTCAAAAAAGGAAAACAAAAACCAAAGCAGTGACAATCTACTAGTGTTACGTATTAATATAACAAATACAAGACAATAGTGCCGAAACTGTTATGATACACAAAAGTGAAATAATTATAAATTAATTAAATTTTCACTTAATAAATTAAGAGTGCAAGTAGTTCTAAATAGATTATGATGAAACTTTACAGTGTTATTATATTCACAAACGAAAATCGAACGCACAGCGTTGAATAGAGCTCTGTGATTGGTTCGTGTGTGACCCTGTGCGTCCACGCGCACTGGAATGTTTGTGAATACGGGCGATAGTCACAATAGAAATCAATTGTTATCGCTGTTTCATGCGACCAATTTGCCCGTTTTCACCATCAATCCCTAATTTTTAAGTGAACCCTATGATCTTTGTGAAGGTCGCGGGAGGTGCCTCGATGCGGGCGGCGCAGGACCGGTCTTTGTGGTAATCCTTGGGGGAGGCCTTTGTCCAGCAGTGGACGTCATTCGGCTGAAACGAACGAACGAACGAAGTTAAAGTCAAAATGTCTTTATCTAGCTAGACTATTAAATAGTACCTATAAATAGTATGATTTTCAGTAGGACGTCCGGTACTGAACAAAGGCCTCCTTTAGATAATTTTCGTGCTCTAACTAAATTAGGTTTACCTAGGAATTAATTAGATTCTTGAATATTAGTGTTTGTTTTAATAAAAGGCAGCCGCCATAAATACAGAGCTTTATTGTTTTAACAAATTTTACAGCCCTGATTAAAAACTTATTATTAAGTAATAATTTTTCCTTTGTCCAAACTTCGACTGGGATAAAACCTTTGCTTTTAATATGCCTTTAATATTACAACTAGAAAAATATAACTTTCTCAATAGTGCTATTGAAAATTGACCATTACCNGTTGGCTTTATGAGGTCGTCGGTCCACCTTGTGGGTGGACGACTTACGCTGCGTTTTCCGGTACGTGGCCTCCACCCCAGAACCTTGCTGCCGATGACGGCCGATTGGGCAGCAAGAAAATTGATTATTGAGTAAGTACATAAAATATTCTGTGTGTTTGTCTATGTAACATTGACACTTGTCTTCAATCTAAAATAATCAGTTTTCCTTCTTTTTATAACCTCACTTACTTGATAACCAACCTAATATAATGTAACAAATTACTTATCACATTACAGGTGCAATATACTAAAACTTGGACAGCCCAATAACATTGTTTAATACGGAATTACATCTTTACGGGCAGTTACAGACGAGGGTGCCGTAGTAGGGGCACTAGAAAGAATTTTACGAGCACCCATAAAATTCTTAATCGTTGGACACTGGGCCTTAATTTGACGGACATTTTCTATCTTCTCGTCAGCTACAGGTGGCGCCACGGTATTTGACAATGTTGGCTTTATGAGTGAACGTCTTTGAGATTTTGTGGTTGAGAATATCAATTTAAAGGAACCGGTTTCAGTTCCCGGAGCGGTCACGGAAAATGGTAAAGAGACCACTGACTGACTGACATAGTGATCTATCAACGCACAGCCCAAACCACTAGATGGATCGGGCTGAAATTTGGCATGCAGGTAGATGTTATGACGTAGGCATCCGCTAAGAAAGGATTTTACGAAACTCCACCCCTAAGGGGGTAAAATGGGATCCACGCGTACGAAGTCGCGGGCGGCCGCTAGTTATAGCATAAATAGTTAAAAGAAAAGTTCAATTAGTTGTAGTAGTAGTTGTTTGGTTAGTAGTTGTATGTTTGGTTATCAGTTCTGTGGTTCCCAGTAGAAACAAGTTGTGGGAAGCAGTGGGCTGGGCACTTCCCATTTTACTGGATTTTCTAGAAAAAATGTTCTCATGCTTCGGAAGACGTTCTAACCTGATACTTAATAAGTCATGGATGCGTTTGGCAGCTCAAATAAGTCTAATCTCATAACCAAACTTGTGTTATCTGATGTTTCAAAAGAACAAAAGTAAGATTTTCAGATCACACCACTGCCTTTTCAACCAAAAGACGTACAGACATTCTTCTAGAACTTCCATCTGAAGCTGCCATCCAGACGTTTCCTATAAGAAAAGAAACCCAACGTTATAACATAAAAATATAATATTAATAACAAACATAATAATCAAGTCATCAGTCATCATCATCGTCTAGCGGCTGTATATTAAATCTTGAGGAGTGTTGCGCATGCACTTCTTGCGGTTCCTCCACTCCTGGGATGCGGTACGCCATCAGAGCAGCACCATAGTTGCCAAGGCCTGTATCCCAGAAGACTATCTGGAACAGAACAAGAATCAGGCCTTTTCATCTCCCTGAGAACTCTCTCTCTCTCCTATCGAAAACAAAACACGCGCGGCGTACCCAGCGGGTTTTATCTACAAAGGATTCACAAGCGAGTTGTGAGTGACGCATTACGCACGCGTACTATCCGTTCGCTTTAAGTTTGCCGCTGGCGATATGACGTCAATATTTTTTATTTATCTATTAATATAAAAGAAAGTCGTGTTAGTTACTCCAGTTATAACTCAAGAACGGCTGAACTGATTTAGCTGAAAATTGTCAGGGAGGTAGTTTAGAGCCAGGAGAAGGACATAGGATACTTTTTATCCCGTTATTTATTGCCATTAAGGCGGAACAAAGTTCGCCGGGTCAGCTAGTTATCTATATATATAAAAGAAAGTCGTGTTAGTTACTTCGCTTATAACTCAAGAACGGCTGAACCGATTTAGCTGAAAATTGTCAGGGAGGTAGTTTAGAGCCAGGAGAAGGACATAGGATACTTTTTATCCCGTTCGAAATAAAAAAAAAGTCTGCTTATTTATTGCCATTAAGGCGGAACAAAGTTCGCCGGGTCAGCTAGTTATCGATAAAAAATTTGTTTTTGCGTAAAATAAGACACATTAATTGCGTTTAATCACTAACTAATTGCGTTTAATCGCGGTTGGGGGAGGGGACGCGCATTCCACGAACCGGCAAACTTAGCACGAATGGGTAGTATTCTTCACCCATTGTAAAAAATATTTGCTATGGAAAGAAGAAAAACACGCGTGTGGTGTGTTAGATAGCGACACAGTAGCTTCTTGTGGCAGTCAGGTCTATTGCATCGGCATATGGCAGTGATCGGTACTCACTGACGTATGTAAACAAAACGGTGCTTTACTCTGAGACTACAACTAAATCCTATTAATAAAAGTTCTTTTGAAAACTCGTTTTTTGTATCCATTATTTTTTATTGAAAGAAATCTAGGCTTACCTGCTCATCAATAAGGTATCTGATGTAGTATATCTCATTGTACTTCTCGAAGCCAATCTCAGCAGCGACTTGCTGACTACGGCCAGTTGTGAATATGCCAGCGATGGCTGGCACGTTTGCACTGGCGGCCAGGCCAATGGCAGCCTTCAGCATTTCCTTTGCTATGCCTGAAAAAGTTTGTTTTATAATAATATTAAAAAATACAATTAACTTTTTTTAAACTTAGACATCTTTAACTCTGTATACGAGTATAGTGCATAACAGAGCATTTTCCTGAGGTAGCAGAGCTGTTCAGCATGGAACTAATTCCACCTTACTGCAACTCATGTACAGCCAGGATCTACAGTGTAGCTTCCAATGAGATTTTTTCAGTGAATGTGAAGGGAGAAATATGCGAACATTAAGCCTCCCTAATGCATTTGGCCAGCGCGTTGACTAAAGGTCAAATCTACCACTTACTCCTGATATGAGAGGGTGGAGACTTTTTTGAGAAATTGCTTGATGATTTTTCTCGCCCTGAAAAGACCCGTATTATAGTGTTCAGGAAAGACAGCAGCAGGCAGCAAACTCTAGTCCCTAGCTGTTCGCATTATAATGACACAAATAACCTTCCAAACACTCACCTCTATGCCGGTACCGTTTCTTCAGAGCTAGTATGTATACTTTGAAGTATTTCCTCACGCCAAGTTTCTCGAACAGATTGACTGGTTTCTCAACAGCGTTGTAGAAGGTCATCACACTCGAATACAGGGGGTTGTGGGTAATCTTCACTCTACTGAATGTACGGGAGAAGGCATCTGAAAGAACAATATTATATCTTAAAGTCATAAAGGCAATTTGCTTTTGGAATTCGGCTTTCAAAAGGGATTTATAAGGTTCGCATTTATAATATTAGTAGGAAGTAGGATATTTTTTTAAAGATTATTAGCAATTTGTATTGCACAAATTACTAATAGTCCCGTTAGCCCCTCGTGGTAAGCTAAATAAGCTTGTGTTACGAGTGGGCTCACCACAATAGTCGAGCGGCGGTGGGACTCGAACCCGCGTTCCTCGGATCTCGAGTCGGCCACTCCGACTCCTTCACCGTTCGGCTATCGCATCGATATTAGTAGGATATAGCCCAAACCTTAAGACAGGTATTGAGTTATCAATCAATGTAAATAGTTAACATAATAAAATGTAACATCATTGATACCAACCAAACTACACATCTAAAAAAATCCTCAACCAAGTGTGGCGACNTTTGATAACAATTTAGAGAAGCATTATTCAGGGTTACATAACAAAAAAAAATTTGGAAAAAGTGAAGATTTTTGGCAACACGAGTAAAAAGACCGTCACCTGGAGTTAGAAATTTTTGATTTTTTTTAAATGCCCATTATTTTGAAAATATGCCACATAGATTTTTTTTTATATTTTTCTGATAACCAGCATAACTTGCCTCAACACCCAGTTCCGGCTTGACGTTACATTACGGGACACCCTGTATAGACAAACCAAGATGGTGTAAATCGGACCTTGGTCCCCGAGCATAACACCCGCTCGGAAGGAAGCACTAACATCTAGCTTCCTTATTGTGGTTGAGCATCATATCCCACACAAGTTACCCAAAAAAATACTGAATGAACAAAAACTTCCTTGCATCGCTTAAGTCACACAAAACCGTCCAAGTAAACAATCGATTTACAATTCCCTCTGCACACTATTCGGAATCTATTTGCGTATCGATACAATCTGACGAGACTCGATTCGGGCTGTATCGATAGCTGTTACATTAGGGACCAAATTCCTTCAATGCTTTGAGCCTAAATTTTTACTGCATCCGTAAAAAGAATTCCGATTCAGCTTCGGATTTGACGTTTGGTGTAAGTAAGAAAATCAAAAATCAAAATCAAAAATATTTATTCAGTTTAGACCACAAGTGGCACTTATGAACGTCAATAGAAAATAATAATAAAAAGAAAAGGTAGCCCTTATGGGGCACTTTACATGTCTCCTTATCTTTTGGGCCCTACCAGCGCTTCGAGACAAACATATGGTATATTAATTAAACGTCATATTTATTACACCGCCTTAATCTCTCTACTCGACCTGTGGTTGACTGGCAGATAATGCCACCTGGCATTAAGTTCGCCACTGTACATATGTATGTGCAAAAGTGTAAATAAAAATAAATAAAATAATATGGCAAGTGCTGAGAAGAAACGCCGGAACAAACTCAGTCACCACTTATTGCCAGGAATTATCTAACGGTAAGAATAGTCAAATTTAAGTACATCAAATATGTGCAGACTGAACTGACCACGCATCAGAGGAAAATAGAAAGATGTTATTCGTTATCATCATTATTTCAGCCACATGACGTCCATAGCTGAACATAGACCTCCCCCAATGACTTCCACATCGCACGGTTGGTACCGTACTAAGATGTAATTAGTGCGGGACTATTCCCACCTCTCTTTTCCACCGCTGCAACTATGTTGCCAGGATCTACAGCTTGACCGCCAATAAAAACCCAACCAGTGAAGGTCAAGTTTGTCCCGGGGTAAGTCAAACTGTCACTGGATCCGCAACGAAATTAATTAAGATTATAGGTGGAGTTGGAAGTTGTTCCAGTTGTTGTTGTTTCCTGTTCCAGAGCAAAATAATTGGTTTGTTTCAACCAAAGGACGTCCACTGCTGGACAAAGGCTTCCCCTAATGATTTTCAAAGCGACCGGTTCTGCGCTTCCCGTATTCATTTGGATACTTCCCGCGACCTTTACCAGATCGTCGATCCAGCGAGCTCGGGACTACCCATATGACTCCAGATCAAATGATTGGGGCAGTTGATGCCAAGTTTGAAAATTGGTTGTACAATTACATTCTTCGTCATCAACAGCCCTTTACAGTCCACTGCTGGACTATGGGCCTCATCCACTATAGTGGATGGTTTTGCCATAATCTCCACGCTTGGCAGGCGGGTTGGAGATCGCAGTTTAAAAGATTGATGTTTTTCAGAGAGCGCTGCTGCCCATTCTCTGTTTGATGTGTAGTCCCTAAGTCGCCTCTTACGACACCCGTGGGAAGAGTAGGGGTTGGTGACAAATGTATTCTACTCTGCCGTCACCACACGGCTAATTTTACAATTTTATTTTTATTAAGAAATTACATTCTTATTAGCTTTGAAATCAAACAATTTAGTTCGCGACATATCAGGGTCGTCATAATTCCTATTGCCATACAAAATCTACTGCAAAATAGCGAGTGGAGCAGTAGTATGAACTAAAATGTAGTTTCAAATAAAATTTAACCCGCTAACCGCTCCCACTCGTGCTTACGCCATATTTCTTATACGTAAATTGGATTCCAAGCAGTCGATCGGTATAGGTCTATATTAGGGAGGCTGATGGCGCCACCGGAATAAGAACGTAAGGTGAACTTGTTTGCCTTTTGAGTTCGCGATTACCGCGGCTTTTATTGCCCACTTGCGTTTTACTGACTCGGTTAAGTGGTGGCTCGATTAATACTCGGTCTGTACGTCTGCTTTTGTTGACTCCTTGCACGAGGTTTTCGGGATTTACAGTTACGCGGTTTTCCTTTTCGGCCGTGTTCGTCTTTGTTTGCGTCTCTCTTGTTTATTCTGAGTTGCTGGTATAAATGAGAGAGAGGGAAATAGACCGGTTATATTATGTAAATATGTCTAGATATTTTATTTTATTTATTTATTAAAACTTGAATCCTACATAAAAACGCACATATTGCGAACTTAATGCCATTTGAGACTTTCTCTGCTACATAATCTTTGGGCTAAAGAAAACATTCGTTAGGCTTTTGATTTGTAGCACAAGAATAGTATAGAAAGTTGATGCCAGTTTAAAAATTACTCGTTTGGGTGTAACTCGTTGGGAACAAGCAGTAGCATTCAGAAAGCGACGTCTTATTTTGTAGCACTCGAAACGGGACTATGGGAATACCTCTCGTTCCCACCGCTGCAACTCCTGTGTAGCCAGTGGGCTAATTCAAATGCATTTGTCGAGAGTAGAAATCGTCTGTCAAATAATTTTCTAGTAATCAATTTTGAACTGATTGTCAAGGTAATACAGTTGAAAATTGAATATCAAAGCCAGACTACGCCTAATGTCAGATCAGCCGATGGTAGATGCCAAATTTCCAATATCGCGTACGAAGACGGAGAACTTTGTCAATATAGTGGTACAGGATCTACAGTTTGACCGCCAATAAAAACCCAACCAGTGAAGGTCAAGTTTGTTCGTAGCACTCTACTAAGCATACCGTAGCACAACCGTAGTATGTCGTAGACTTGTAGCAGTGCGTAGTACAATAGATTTTGACCTGACTGCGCCAGTAGTGTTATAAAAGCACAAGTTATTTTAAGAAGTATCCCACAAACTATGTACTAAAAGTCTGTAGTCAGCAGAGTCTAACGTCTGTATTCACAAACGATACTTGCTTAAGTGAAGCAGCAAATCGAAGGCACAGCGTAGAATAGAGCTCTGTGATTGGTTCATGTGTCACCCTGTGCGTCCACGCACACTGTGAGACCTCATAGTAATGTTTGTAAATACGGGTGTAACACTGTCGCATTTACTCGACTTCTCATAGGTGCCATTTTGCATTAACAATAGTTATGTCGATTATGTCGATGGTTTGTTGGTGTACAAAAAAGTACAGTATCTATTTTCAACCGACTTCAAAAAAGGAGGAGGTTCTCAATTCGACCCGTATGTTTTTTTTTTTTTCTATGTTTGTTACGCGATAACTCCGCCAATTATGAACCGATTTGAACAAATCTTTTTTCGACGTATAGGTCGAGGGTGGGTGGTAATACCTCAAGGGTGGTCCCATTTAAATTTAATAATAAAAAAAACAACCCCCAAGGGTGGAAAATTGGGGATGAACTTTTTTATACGCAATATCTCCGTCGATTATAAACCAATTTGAACGATTATTTTTTTGTTGAATAGGTATTATCAAAAGGGTGGTTTCATGCGAATTTGAAGAAAATATTTCACCCCCAAGGGTGGAAAATTGGGGATGAACTTTTTTATACGCAATATCTCCGCCGATTATGAACCAATTTTTTTTTTTTTTTTTTCTATGTTTGTTACGCGATAACTCCGCCAATTATGAACCGATTTGAACAAATCTTTTTTCGACGTATAGGTAATACCTCAAGGGTGGTCCCATTTAAATTTAATAATAAAAAAAACAACCCCCAAGGGTGGAAAATTGGGGATGAACTTTTTTATACGCAATATCTCCGTCGATTATAAACCAATTTGAACGATTATTTTTTTGTTGAATAGGTATTATCAAAAGGGTGGTTTCATGCGAATTTGAAGAAAATATTTCACCCCCAAGGGTGGAAAATTGGGGATGAACTTTTTTATACGCAATATCTCCGCCGATTATGAACCAATTTTTTTTTGGTCTCAGTGTACTGCCTACCTTTAGTGGTAACATCAAGGTAATAATTAGTTAACTAAAAAGCAAGAAATAAGTAAAATTTTATAAAAAAAATAAAACCGACTCCAAAAAACCTACACTAAAACGTCGAAAAATAATTACTAATTACCTACTTATTTATTAGGACGAATTATTAATATTTATGTAGGTATACCATGATTGATACTTTTGGTGTCGGTGCAGGCAAACTTTACATGTTTCATAATCTTGGCACCGACTCCAGAAGTATCAATCATGGTATACCTACATAAATATTAATAATTCGCCTAATAAATAAGTAGGTAATTAGTAATTATTTTTCGACGTTTTAGTGTAGGTTTTTTGGAGTCGGTTTTATTTTTAGTGAAGTATGAAAAGTTTCACAAAATCCACGAAACACAAAATATGAAAATAACTAAAGCATTTCGCATTGTAATTTATTACATGAATCCCCGATTTACATTTATAAAGTACACAAAATGTAAGCCTTTGGGAGTAAACTGTTAGATTTATTCGTGCGAATGAACCTTCAATAATTACAACAGTTTATGTTTAAAATATCTTGTTACCCACCGCTATTTATGAAATCAGCCCGGCTACAAGTTAACCCTTTAACGGGCAAGTTAAATTGTTTATCGTGTTTTGAACCTTCACACAATGTGTTAAAGTTCAAATATCATGGGAAATATGTATTTGCAATAGCAAATACCGTGTAAAGGTTTAAGTAGATATTTTATGTCAGCGTGCATTGCATAACATACACTTTTTACATTCTGATATTTCAAATATTTTTTGAACAATTATGTGGCATGGAGAGCTTTTATCTTCTATATAAATAAAAATGAATCGATGTTCGTTAGTCTTGATTAAAACTCGAGAACGGCTGGGCCGATTGAGCTGATTTTTGTTTTAAAATGTTTGTCGTAGTCCAGGATAGGTCTAAACGGTGAGCTAATACGCGCGCGATATTATTTTTTTGTGACAGACAAAATTCCACGCGGGCGAAGCCGCGGGCGGAAAGCTAGTTAAAAATAAAAGTCATTTTGCTCTTTGTATTTTAAATGACGAAGCACACTTATCAACCTGGAAACGGATCGTACCCGTAGCAACTCGAAGCCGTCATTATTATTTGTATGAAACTATACAGAAATCGCGGTACTTCAGAAGAGAGTAACTAGTTGTGGTAAATTAGAGAGGTTCGTGCTTAAGCATTGGTGACTTAGCGCTCCTGCACACGACGCCGCCACCGCGCCGCCATCCACCGGGCGATATTAAGGCCTCAGCCTCGAACTTAGCGGGCAGCGGGGCGGCAGCGGCGGCGGCGCGGGAGCGGCAGGATCTTATGCGTAAAATCAAATAGACCGGTTCTCGAAAACAGCGGCGCGGCAGCGGGGCGGCAGCGGGCAACGAGCGGGCAGCGGCGAGGGAGCGGGCAACGAGCGGGCAGCGCACTCCTTCTTTTGCCCACAATAAATCGAGCGTTAGGAATAAATTTGAATCGAAATAAGATTGTTGCCGTTGTTCAGACATTTCGTTTGCGAATAAAAACAAATATCTCGACAACACAACCCCGAACACAACACTTCGCCGCTAAAGCGCCGCGCGAGCTGCCCGCTTGTTTCGAGAACGGGTCTGCGTTGCCCGCCCCGCTCCAGCGCCGCCGCCGCTCCCGCCCCGCTGCCCGCTAAGTTCGAGGCTGAGGCCTGGCCGCGGCGCGGGAGCGGCAGGATCTTATGCGTAAAATCAAATAGACCGGTTCTCGAAAACAGCGGCGCGGCAGCGGGGCGGCAGCGGGCAACGAGCGGGCAGCGGCGAGGGAGCGGGCAACGAGCGGGCAGCGCACTCCTTCTTTTGCCCACAATAAATCGAGCGTTAGGAATAAATTTGAATCGAAATAAGATTGTTGCCGTTGTTCAGACATTTCGTTTGCGAATAAAAACAAATATCTCGACAACACAACCCCGAACACAACACTTCGCCGCTAAAGCGCCGCGCGAGCTGCCCGCTTGTTTCGAGAACGGGTCTGCGTTGCCCGCCCCGCTCCAGCGCCGCCGCCGCTCCCGCCCCGCTGCCCGCTAAGTTCGAGGCTGAGGCCTAAAACAGTGCAAAGGCGCGGCGGCGGCGCGGTGGCGGCGTCGTGTGCAGGAGCGCTTAATGACCTGCTGTTGCTGATGATGATGATGACGATGATGATGCCAACTACACATACGTTTCTCCTGAATCCTCATGATCATCACACCGACCAACTTGTCGACTCCCTCTTTGACAGCTGCTATCGACATTTTGTCCTTCATCCATATCCTGACGTTGTGTACGAATTCGTCGGTGCCTTCTCTGTCTTCTGCTATCTTTACTGATCTGTAGGTTAACTGAAAATCAGATGCAAATAAATTAAAGCTTTCCTTTATAAAACTTTGAAAATATAGTTCTTTGCTACTTGCTATACATATTCTGAAATTTAACATTTTCTCTCTCAGTTTCAAGACCACTAAAACACCTAAAAGGGTAAAATACGCGTCAATACAGTTTCATTTAGGATTTTGTTTACAAAATGAATAAAATATGAGCCATATCTCCCAAGTATCCAGACATCGACAAATTAAAACTTTTCGTTCTATTAGGTGTATCATTTGCTAAAAAGTTTAGAATGTTTCAAGTTTTTCGAATTTTGCCGTAGGAGAGTGACTATATCTTCCTTACACTGGAGCTCTTCGCTCTGTCTTTTTCACCGAATACACATATTTTAATATAGTGCAGCAGGGCTTAGTTTTGATTATTGCTAGTAAGCTCGTAGCAACCGCCAGGCCGCTTCCAACCGGGCAACATGGAAAGCATTAGGGGAGGCCTGCTGAACATAAGCAGTGGACGTCCTATGGCTGAGATGATGATGATGAAGCTTTTGTACCATATCTTCCCTTTTGTTTTAATCTACAATTGTCTCTCAATAAATGAACAAATGCATACCCACCTCCTCGGGAAGATAGTGCTTCTTCAGCAATCTAACAGCATCCTCGTATCTCTTGTCCTGTAAATCCTCGAACCTGATACCGCAGGCCACTCGGCCCCATATAGAGGGCGCTTTTATCCTCTCTTCTAGAAGCTTCATCTTCTCTACTTCTGCTTCTGCACTCTTCGCCATTGTTGATTAAAAACCTAAAACAATGATAAGAATACAAAGAGCTTTTTTAAAGTAGACCATAAGTCTAGGCGCAGACCACCGACTTTTAGTTGACCGATAGTTTAGTCGGGCATTTGATCAGTATGGGCATGTATGGAAGTGCGCACATTACGCCGATTCGATTTGGCCGATTCTTCATACAAATTAAAATCGGGCCCAACTATCGGCCAACTAAACGGTGGTCTACGCCTAGTCTAAGACTTAGTTGGCCGATAGTTGAATCGGGCTGTTGATCAGTATGGAAGTACTCACACCTATTTGGTATCGGCCAATCTATATATATAAAAGAAAGTCGTGTTAGTTACTTCGCTTATAACTCAAGAACGGCTGAACCGATTTAGCTGAAAATTGTCAGGGTACCTCCCTAGAGCCAGGAGAAGGACATAGGATACTTTTTATACCGTTCGAAATAAAAAAAAGTCTGCTTATTTATTGCCATTAAGGCGGAACAAAGTTCGCCGGGTCAGCTAGTTCTTCATACAAGTTAAGATCGGGCCCAACTATCGGCCAACTAAAAGTCGGTGGTCTGCGCCTAGGCTAAAATAGAAATCAATAACTAAAAGCGTACCGTTTTGATTATACTCGTAAATTGTAAGTAAAAATAATATATAAAAACCCTAATCTATTTACAATTTCTTGGAAATTCAATCAGCTTAAGTTTGGTTTACAAACGTTACACCAAACGGCGATGACAGTTTTCACTGTCATAAGTCATAACAGTTTCAAATACAAGAAGTTCAATAACAAAACAGTTTTGATAATAATAATCTCTGATTCACCTAGTCCAAACAGCAAAATCATGAAAGGCTTTATACTACACATACATATCACATTCTTCCATCTAAACATTTACCACATTTATTATTTAACCCAAAATTCCCATTTTCTCCAATCACACATTAAATTCCCAGGGTGTCCAAAAAACAGGACGGATCCCAAACAAACTTACCCGGATCAGTATCCGGATCTATCTAACCGTATAGCTAATGACATCGATCGGCCAAACTTATTCGCCACTATTTACCCGAAACTCGAGTGCCTGGATGTTGTCGAATGATTCGGGCTGTGTTTAATCAGGCGCACCTGGTTTTGTTCCGATTCCTCTTAACTGTAGGGCGGCCATGCTTCCTCGGGATCCTGAGCTAGTTTAAATAATTATGTATAAGGGTTACAAAACCGATGAAAAGTGGAGTAAACGGGTTCTTGAAGAGAGACCACGACTCAGCAAATGTAGGATGGCCTATGTGCCCCAGGTTGGTCCTATACCCACTTAATTATGTACTTTAAATGTGGCATTACAGGTTTCTCCTCAGCTAGTAAAATTTTGTTTGACTACGTCAGAGTTCTTTGTGCCAAATAAACTATTATTCATTTATTTATTCAAACATCACAGAACTGAGTAAAAGGTGGATGAGAAAAGTGGAAGATACCCTTAGCTAAATTAAATAATTTAAAAAAATTACATCAGTCTGTTTACACAGCAATAGATGTAGAATTTACATAATTTACATTCTTGATTTTAAACTATCGCGTTCCATTTCGACTTAATATCGCGTCAAGACCCGTGTCTTTCTATTTAAAACATTCTACATTGTAAATATGTAGTCAAGATGGAACCAATCGCTAAGGATACTTAAATAACTGATTAACAAAAAATACCAGCCTTTTTTTGTCTCTTCAAAAAAATAATTCAAGGTCACCCCCCACTTTCAGGTGCGTTGATTGGCGGGCAAACTCGCCGGATCGGCATTGTTTTAATTCTTGATTAGACCTCCAGCCATTGTTGACCCTTTACAGACCAACATTCAGGTTGTTTTGTAGATAAATAAAGCTAATCTGGGTTATTATTTTGTTTGAAGTGAAGGTGGATTCGGGTTTGATGAGAGTTTTGAAGGACTTGGCAATTACCTCTTGAAGTTTTGCAAAGCGTGTTAATAAATTATTATTAAGAGGATGGCATACCTACCTATTTACTCGTACATCATTACAATAGAACCTTAAAGTAGGTAACTGAATTTCAGAATCTCCGATATGCCTAATTGCTAATTACTCGTGTCTAATTAAACAGTAGGTACGTGCTCCGTAATATTATGTAACTTATTCGAATTTTATTGAAATATCTGACTTCTTCAAAAATTGATAGCTATTCGCTATTAATTTTTGAAGAAGAGCCCTGACTTTCAGATATGATTTCATGAATTTAGATAAAATTTTCCATACAGGCCACATTTTGCCTTATGAACCACACGCCCCATGATTGGAAAAGAAGGTAAATAAAAAAGAAATTCCTCACAAGNCCAAAGTTAAGTGACTTGCGAGGTTCTCACTCAGTGTGTCATTGTCAAGACCATGGACTTCATGGTGATCAGATCAAATGCAAGTGCTTTATGAGGGTCCATTTTGGCTATTTCTTTAGCCTAGCCATCTCTCTTAGCGTTAGTTCTTTCGTTTCAGCCGAAAGACGTCCTGCGCCGCTCGCATCCAGGCACTTCCTACGACCTTCCCCAAATCGTCGGTCCACCTAGTGGGAGGCCTGCCCACGCCAAGTCTTCCAGCTCGTGGTCGCCACTCAAGAACTTTACTGCCCCAGCGGCCATCAGCTCTACGAGATATGTGCCCCGCCCACTGCCACTGTGGGCTATGTCAGTCGTTTGTCCTCCTGCGTCTTTCGTCCTCAATGTAAAAAGTAGGAATCAATCTTCTTCTTTGAACTTGAGGAGGGTAAGCGGAAAATGGCGGTCAACTCCTCAGATAGTCAAGTACAAAGATGTCCTGAAGCAGCATAATATATGAAAAGATGGAAAATGGGCCCTCTCAAATCAGGATGGGAAGGTTGGGCAGCACAGCACCTAGAATGGCGGGAGATTGTGTTGTGTAGAGGCGAGTCCGCGAATTCAAGGAGAAGCGCACAACTGAACTCAACGCAAAACGCGATGATGTAAATCCCGTCCATCTGCCGCCATTCACTATAATTATGTTGGCGGCGGGTAATTACTATCAATGTGCGAGGAGTTTGCCGCGAAGATCGGCTATGTAAGCTATCTTCGGGTGCACCAGCGCCGCTAAGACAGCTAAGTCGAAGTGGTCACCATGACCGAAATCGGTCGGATGAATCATCATCATCATCAGTAGGAATCAAAAGGCAGGCATAGCTGCAAGTCTCGGATCAAATCCAGTGCTTGATCTTATTTTTTGATTGAATTGTGAATCAATGGGTTTAAATAAACCGGCTTGTCATGTAGTTAGCAAAGGTCTGAGATTTTTCTTGTCAGTTCGCTCTCATGTATTACCGGACCTAATAGGCGGAGAACACTTTGAGGGAGGTACTTTGTTGCCTTCCAGAGGTTGTGGTTCCCATTTGCATTCCGAGACATATTTGCCAATCTCTGTGTGAGCGATTCGCTTAAAGTATAGTCCAATAGTGTGGGTTGTCTGCCAGACGAAGGCGGGGATTTTTTCTTAACAGCAGAGGGACCGGCGCCTCTCGCGATCAATTATTTAATAGATCAAACAGCAACTTGAATAATGTACTTGATTTACCAAAATTATGCCAACCACATAATTTACATTAACTCAGTCAGGCCGCGCTGATGGCCTCCAACTTAATCACCTTCTAAAACGAATCCTTTAAGGCATGGTCAGACACGCCAGGATTAACTCATTCCAAAATTCTCATAAAAGCCTATGACCGAAAATGCTCCAAGCAGATCATAGAACTGAGTAAGATCAAAATGCGCATCTTAGTTCGAGCCCTCATTGGACACAGCAGCTTAAACAAGCACTTGTACACTATGGGACTGTCCGAATCAAGAACGTGCAGGATGTGCCAAGAGGCAGATGAAACGTCACTACACATTCTCACGGACTGCAGACCTTTGATGCGCAAGCGGAGCTTACACCTGGGCAAACACATCCTAAGCCCACAAGATGTAAAACATATCGCCCCCAAAAAGATACTGCAATTCCTAATGGATGCAGGACTCGGAGGCGAACTGTAAGGAAAACAGCGGCGATCACAATAGATCGCTACCGGTCGCAGTGATACTAGGACTTTATTGAACTAGAATAGCCGCTCAACTCAATAAAAAAATAGTTCTTCTGCGTTCGAAACACAAATTAGTACAGTAAAGGAGAGGAATAAATTGCAAATAGTTGGTACAGTATCAGTATCGGCGCGCCGACTGCTGGTCGTCGGCGGCGGCGGCGTGGATAAATTCGCGGCGGCGGCGGCGCGCCGGCGTGGCGCCCACCTCTAGTTACAACAGGATATTGCAAANTAATAGGCGGAGAACACTTTGAGGGAGGTACTTTGTTGCCTTCCAGAGGTTGTGGTTCCCATTTGCATTCCGAGACATATTTGCCAATCTCTGTGTGAGCGATTCGCTTAAAGTATAGTCCAATAGTGTGGGTTGTCTGCCAGACGAAGGCGGGGATTTTTTTTTTAACAGCAGAGGGACCGGCGCCTCTCGCGATCAATTATTTAATAGACCAAACAGCAACTTGAAATAATCTACTTGATTTACCAAAATTATGCCAACCACATAATTTACATTAACTCAGTCAGGCCGCGCTGATGGCCTCCAACTTAATCACCTTCTAAAACGAATCCTTTAAGGCATGGTCAGACACGCCAGGATTAACTCATTCCAAAACTCTCATAAAAGCCTATGACCGAAAATGCTCCAAACAGATCATAGGACTGAGTAGGATCAAAATGCGCATCTTAGTTCGAGCCCTCATTTGGACACAGCAGCTTAAACAAGCACTTGTACACTATGGGACTGTCCGAATCAAGAACGTGCAGGATGTGCCAAGAAGAGGCAGATGAAACGTCACTACACATTCTCACGGACTGCATACCTTTGATGCGCAAGCGGAGCTTACACCTGGGCAAACACATCATAAGCCCACAAGATGTAAAACATATCGCCCCCAAAAAGATACTGCAATTCCTAATGGATGCAGGACTCGGAGGCGAACTGTAAGGAAAATAGCAGCGATCACAATAGATCGCTACCGGTCGCAGTGATACTAGGACTTTATTGAACTAGAATAGCCGCTCAACTCAATAAAAAGATAGAGAAGATAGTTCTTCTGCGTTCGAAACACAAATTAGTACGGTAAAGGAGAGGAATAAATTGCAAATAGTTGGCACAGTATCAGTATCGGCGCGCCGACTGCTGGTCGTCGGCGGCGGCGGCGTGGAAAAATTCGCGGCGGCGGCGGCGCGCCGGCGTGGCGCCCACCTCTAGTTGGGATCGAAAATCAATAACTTGTGTGTTTTTATTACGGAGTGTAGAATGTAAAGTTTTCGAATAGTAAGTAAGTCCGCTATAGAGTATAAAGCCTCTGTTGAAAATCTACGCTTTTTAAAATACATCACCTTTAATAGTGCTCTTTGAGCACGTTCCACATCTAAAAATTTTGTTTTTAAAGCTCAGTCGAAACAAATTCTAATTACGAAAACGCTTAGCGAGCGTTCTCGTTCGTCTCTAATCAAATTTTTTGTAAGCCTAACAAACTTGACAGAAAAAGCCTAAAAGCACAATTACCATAATGAAAATGTCTTACCTCAGTTTAATCCAATTATTTGAATCCCACAAAGAAAACACTGGGAGAGACCGCCAAATACAGGGTGGTACGGAAAACTGAGTCGGTTATAAAAA